AGCCTTAAAATTACAACTACAAATGAGGCATGCCGAGGAGAAAGAAAAGTTCATGTTCCACAAGATGCTCCTGAACAATGAGCTTCCTTTAAGTATCGGAGGAGGTGTCGGACAGTCTCGACTTTGTATGTTCTACCTTGAGAAAGCTCACATTGGAGAAATACAAGCATCGGTGTGGCCACAAGAAACAAGGGACAAGCTTGAAAAGAAAAATGTTACACTCCTCTAAATTTAGAATTCATTAACTTGTTGCTTTAATTCATTAAACTTATAATTTATAATAAACTACTATAAAATATACTATATCAATCATTTCTATTTTTATTAAATTTTTAATTAATAAGTAAACTAATATGACAAATAACATTGGGTGTTCAAACTATGTTGTTTTGATATTTTTTATGTGTTACAAATACTTGTAAAGTCGTCGTGTGTGTTTAAAACAGAAATTTCATTTTGTCGAAAAACTTGAGAAACATATTGAATTTCCAAGAATAGAGGTGCATCACCATTAGAGCAAATTAATTGAATAGTATTATTAATAGTATTATTATAGTTTTATTAATACAATGGTCAAATAGTACACTCAAGTGTTATTGAGGTTCAAATGTATTATTTGAAATAGTAAAATATATAAGAGAATTATAGAATGCTTGTCTACAAAAAGTCACCAAGAAAATTAGATTGCAAAACTAAAAAATTTGAAATGTGTGACAAACTGGAAGACATCGAGATACTCAACGAGAATATGGAAAAAACATTAATGGAGGCGCCTACACCACCCCCGAAACCTAGAAGATTGTCAGAAGCTCGGTTTTCATCGATTGTGCCAGTCGAAATCAATGAAGCAGAAATCATCCAAAGTTCCTCGGAAAACGACACCGAGGAAAACGAACCTTCACTTACAAAGAAGGAGAACATCATCCAAAAAGTCGAACCTGCACCTCCAAAAGTCGAACCGAAGAAAATTAGTCCAACGGATTATCGGCTTCATGTCGTTAATGAGGTATATGACACGGAGGACAGTTACGTGTCCTCACTGAAAGTATGTAAAGAAGGGTATTACACCCCGTTGTCGACTTCAGGAGCACATATATGCCCCAAAGAGAAGCTCGACATTATATTTAGTCACTTTGACGACGTTTTAAGCTTTAACACAGCACTCTTTATGGAGATGAAGAAGTTGAAAGAACAGGGGGTGTTAGAGAATCAAATTGGGACTGCTTTATTCAAATTTGCGGGGGTGTTGAATATATATAAACTGTTTGTATCAAACTCGGACACATCATTTAAAGTCCTCGATGAGCTGGAAAAGAACACGAAATTCAACGAGACTCTGTATGTCCTTAGAAATCAGTTACAAGCGGAAAACCAACTTGATTTGAGAAGTTATTTGATTATGCCCGTCCAGCGCCTGCCACGGTATCGACTACTATTAACGGACTTGATTAAACACACCGACGACGCGTTTCCAGATAAGCCCAATCTCCAAAAGGCTTTAGAGGAAATATCCAAAATTGCACTTGTTGTGAATGAAACGATCAAAGAGAGAGAACGGAAACAAAAATTAGTTGAGTTGACAAAACACATTGAGGGGTTCAATGGTGAACTCATCACCCCATACCGAGAAATGCTGAAAGACGGGAAGTTGAAGAAGATATGTCGAAAGAATAACAAGGAGAGATACTTCTACTTATTTAATGATGTGTTGACATACGGTATTGGAGATGAGAAGAACATGAAAGTGTCTGGAACACTGAAACTTGAAACTTTGACGATTCGAGAAAATAAAGAAGTGGAGTTTTCGTTCCAAATTCTGTCGAAGAAGAGCTTTTCTGTCATAGCGGAGAACAAGGAACTCTATGAAGAGTGGTTCAAAGCAATTTCAGACGCAATTAATCAAGAGAAGTCGAAAACTGGGACACTGAAACGACAAAAAGTGGAAGGAGATGATTATGTTGCACCCATTTGGGTGCAAGACACTGCGAATTGTCAAATATGTAATGCTTTATTCACTACCTTCTTTAGAAAGCATCACTGTCGGAAATGTGGATTGTGTGTGTGTGCGGACTGTAGTAAACAAAGTATTGTAATCAACAAAAAGAAGGAGAGAGTCTGTGACCGATGTGCAGCTGATAGTGTTGATGTTGAAAACTCGAAGAATAGTAAAGACAAATTAGAGAGTGAACCGGTGAAAAGGAAAAGCTTCTCCGAGAAAATTAGGAAGTCACTGAGCCAAACACAAACACTAGAACTTCAGAAAAAGGCCGAGGAAGAGAACAAGGAACAAACGCCTGGAATTGAAGAAACAAAGAAAATTGATGTTGAAGACAAAGCTCCAGAACTCCCACCAAAGAGAAAAAGTTCTTCAACGAATCGGCCAATAGTTAACGTGACTATCGAAAATGCAAAACCAGAAAGTGGTGTCGAGACTACAACTGAAATAAATAAAAAAGAATGTGTTAATCGCAATGAAATGGAAACCACAACGAACTCTCAACAACAAGAACAACAACAAAACACAACTGTGACACCTAAAGATGACCTTTTGGTCTCACCAAAAAGCCAAATACAAAAACCAAGTCAACCAAAGAGAGCACAACCCCCGACACCTCGAAAAGTGACTCCAATTAATACTACAAATACAACGCAAATACATCAAAATTCATATTCAAATACGGTAACACAACCAACTCAACAACATAAACAAAAAACATTTGCCGACGTGACCAAACCAACTCAAAAGGCACAAACCATATTACAAAGAACACAACCAAAACTCCAACAAACACCTAAAGAACATTCCACATCGGAACAACAAAGCGTTTTAATTAAGCAGAAAAGCTTTGAGAAGAAGGTCGAAAACGACCAAAGCAATACAGAGAAGTGCGAAAAAACAGAAGCGTCATTTAGAAGTGTGAGAGACTCCCCCTTCTTGAAAAAAGACCAACACCAACAAACGTTCTTACAAAAACGACCAGAACCAAGAAAACAACCTTTAAAACCACAAAAATGATCTGTTGGTGTTGAATTGTCTCCTTATTCTTTAACATCAATTTATCGTAAAATTACTATTGTTTTTAGCTTTTGTTTTCCTCCCTTTGTTTCTCTTAAAATATTCAGATCTTAGGGATTTTTATTGAGATATGTGGACTATTTTCACCAAAATTTTTGATGTCGAAATAACTTCATAAAAAATGAAGAATAATTATTTTTTTTAACAACAAATAATAACAAATTACTCATTTGGTAATTATTAATAATTATTAGTAATTTAGTTAATACGAACAAATTATATTATAATAATATCATTTTAGTTATTTATTAGTATTTGTCTTTTATTACAAAACAATATAGTAAATGAATAGTTAAACAACTATAAGTAGTAACTTGCCAAACACAAACCCAACTCGTAAAATCACTTTACTCTCGGAATGCACGAATTAAAATCCGGCGTCGTTTTGATCCATTGGTCCCGACATTCTTTGAGATGGCATTTTAGGTCCACCGGCTGGTTTTTGCATGACGATTTGATCGACGAGTAAAATGGTGATTGAGACGTTAGTAGCGAGGATGAAGGCATTTTTCTTTGCCTCCAAGTTGTCAAGGACCATATCTTGTTTTGCGTCGATCAGTTGTGTCTCGCTTTCGACGTTGACTGCCATATTTGGATTATTCTGGTGTGCGACAAACAACTCACTCAAGACTTCAGTTGCGTCCAACCCGCTGTTCTCAGCAAGAACACGGGGAACCATTTGGAAAGCTTCTGCAAACTTTTTGACTGAGTACTGAGTTAACCCTTTGATTGAATCTCCATACTCACTCAACTTCTTCGACATTTCAATTTCAAACCCACCAGCTCCAGCAACAAACTTCTTGTTTCTTTCAAAGACTTTGTATTCACAAATCCCATCGTCAAGTGCTTGTTCGATGTCGTCCAAAACATTTTGAGTTGATCCTCTCACGACTATAGTAGTCACTGCCGAGTTCTCACTTCTTTCTAATATCGTACACTTCGTGCTTCCAACCTCCTTGACATACACCTTCTCGCAATTTCCATACTTCCCTGAGTCACACTCGGAGGTCAATGAAATGAACGGAGTGCTCCCAGTAACCCTACATATTCTTTTCAAATCAAAAGTGCTTGGTACTCTGAGGACTACAATACCAGCGCGATCACAGTAATGAAGAGCTAAATCAGAAACATTACCCCCACAAATAATAAGTCCAACACCAGCAGTCTTCAATTGGTCGACATAACCCTTCATCAATTGCTCCTCTCCAGTCGAGAAATTTTTGAACTGATCGGCGTCTTTGAGTAAAACAGTGCCTTTGGTCTCTGTTTTGGGGAGTTCGAAACCTTGAACGTAGATCGCGACTTTAGTGTTGGTGGCACTTAAAACACTGCCAGCAGGCTCGGTTTGCAAGACAAAGCCATTCACTATTTCACTCTCGTCGACAGACCCCCCGAGGATTTTAATCGTTCGAACGTTGTCGACATCAAAAGAACCACCTCTCACTGTTTTCGAGCAAGCCTCCACGACTAAATGAGTGAAGAAGTCGGCATACCCGGGCACTTTAGAGAATAAGACGGACTTCATATACTTTTCTACAAGTTGATTTGAAGCATCTCCAGCTAATCTCTCGATCGCAAAGTCATCAGTGTGTTCGACAAAGTATTTCAGACCAGCTCGATACCCGTCGACGATTATAGTCGGATGAAGACCCATCCTAAGTAACCCTTCCGCTTGTGTCATTAACTCACCCGCAAACATGATGACCAAATTGGTGAAGTCCCCAACCTCGACTTGTTGCTGTTTAGCAGCCATGATAACCATATTAGCGGCGGGGTGGTTGAACTCCAATTCCCCAATGATTTTCGCCGCATCTGAAGTGACATACTGCTTCCCTCGGGAGTTCACTATCAACTTCCTCATACCCTGTGGGCCATATGTTGTCTTCGTCATCTGTGAAAGTGTGCGGACAGCCTCGACGTTCTTAAGAACGGCCTCTTCAAGACCAGACAAATTTTTCGTACCTTCCTTCAGAAGATCAACCATTGGTATGGGTTTATTGGATCTTAAAATTATACCGCCTTCACTCAGGAATAACACGTTTAATTATGTATTAGCTTTTTTATAGTTTTTATTGGCTTTTTGTATTTTTTTTGTTGGTAAATAAAATGTATTGTATTATAGTTCATTATAATTAGTTTTACTATAATTTTTTGAATTCTCAATTAACACGTTTATTTAATTAACAAATCGTTTAATTAACGAGTTATTTATTATGAAAAAGACAGGAAATGGTAAATATAAAGAAATAAAAAACAACTCGTTAATTATATTCATGACAATAAACAGACTAACAATTATTTATTCTTTGGGTCAAGAGAAAGGGTGTCAAGCTTTCTGGCAAGCTCAGTGAAGTCGACATTTTCGTTTGGAATAACTTTTGTAAAGTTGTGTTCAAACTCGGGAAGGTTCGATGAAAAGAAACACATTTTTATGATCAAAAAAATCATGAAGAACACAGTACAAAGGATAACCTATCAATTGAGAATACATCGACGAAAGATCTGCAACAAACTGATAATACTATAACCACATCATAATCACCCATTTATCTTTTTTTAAGTACTTTTTCCTGCAATTTTTTTAAAAGATTAATATCTTAGAGATTTTGTAATTTATTAACTCGTATTACAATATTTTTTGTGTAAGATATCTATTTTTTATTTTTATGTTATTAAAATGGTTAATTTAATAGAAAACTATTACAGAAAAAAGTGCATGGCCATTACATAAGTAACTATACTTATAATATATATATTATAAAGTATACTCTATTAAGAAAAATAATATGACTCTAAATACCCGAATTTTTGCTGCAAATCCTCCTAAAATAAAAGCATTACAACTCATTTAAATCTCCTCTTAGCAAACAATTTGAGCTCCTCAATTTCTTTCTTCCTTTTTCTCTCAAACTGTTCCTTAGACATAAACTCTTCCTTCCCACCGAACACATTAAAACACGACCTTAGACTTTTTCGTTGTCTTTCCAACACTTCATTGTCTGAATGCACCTCTTTCTCTAAAGGGACAGTCTCTTCACTGAGCAATACAGTACTTTTCAAAACAGAGACATTTGTCTTTTCAGTTTGACTCTTGTGCTCTGGTGAAGTCGTTTTATGCGAACTTTCGAAGTTCTTTTGGTGAATAGATTTTGAGTCTTTTGTGGGTGATTCGAAACTGTCGGTGGAGTGTGGGGAATCAACTTTTTCAAGTGGAGTGACGTGAATGGAAGATATCGAGTTTGTTGGCGCAATCAATTTTGAGACAGACACCAATCGACTCATCTTTTTCAGTGATTTGTTTGCAATGGGTGATGGGAGGGTCATTGTTTCCGAGTGTTGAATTGTTGTTTTACTGTCACTATTTTGTGATACTTCAGTTGTATAAACTAGGGTTTGTCGTGAGTTAGAGTTTGAGTCTGTTTGTTTGTCTTCTTTGTGTTCAACCTTATTTGAAGGTATTCCTTCTCTTTCCATTAATATGGATTGTGGTTTTATAGATGGTCATAAGTTATTCTTTCTCTATTAATTCGTTGTAATAATGAAATAAAAAACCATAAAATGTCGGGAAAAACATTATTTATTGGTGTCAGACTGAAAAACAAATTGTAATAATAATAATATAATTTACTATAAAATTAAAATATGTTTTTTTATTTTATTTGTTTTCTATAGTAAATATATATAATAATATAATAAAAATAGAACAGTAGTAAAACTTATTAATATATAATATAATAATAATAAAAATAAGTTTTTTAAATTTTATGAATTAATTTGCTTATAAAAAGTTAAAAATAAATAATAAATAAATGTATTAGAATATATTAGTTAAAACTATAAACAAAAACCATTAAAAGAACTATTAATATTATTGAATGAACTACAACGTACCACCCCGTTACCCATCATCATTCCAACAACCTCGCTACGACCGATTTGAGTCGCAGCCACTCGCGTCAGAAGTTCAACAAGTACCGTTTGAAAATTCGAAATCAGTGCACGTTGCTGGATTACATGAGTCTGTCGACGAAACTTTGTTAAGTCGGATCTTTTCCATAGTCGGTCACGTAGTCTCGTGTAAAATAATGAAAGACAAAACAGGCACACACGCCAGATATGGGTTTATTGAATTCATCGACCACACAACGGCGGAGTTTGCGAAGGAGAACATGAACGGTCGACTTGTGTACGGGAAGGAGTTGAAGGTGAATTGGACGCACGACTCACAGAGTGATGCCAAAGGGTCATTTAAGTTGTTTGTTGGTGGTCTTCATACGGAAGTGACGAACGAAATTCTTTACCAAAACTTTGCGAAGTTTGGGAGAGTCTCCGACGCGAGAGTGTTACGGTACTCACAGTCAGGGAAGTCACAGGGCTATGGCTTTGTCACTTTTATAAGAAAAGAAGACGCTGAAACTGCGATGCAGATGATGAATGGAGAAAAGATTCAAGGAAGGACAGTTAAAGTGAATTGGGGGACAGCCACACAGAAACCCACTGAAACAGTGAAGAGAGGGTTTGACGAAATATCTCGAGAAACATCGAACACAAATAACAATGTTTATGTCGGAGGAATTCCTAAAGAGACTGAAGAAAGTACAATGAGGAAGTTATTTGGGGACTTTGGAGAAATCATTGATCTGAAAATAATGAGAACAGATGCGGAAAAAGCTTATGGGTTTGTCAGGTTTGTGTCACATGATAACGCTACAAAGGCTATTATGATGCTAAATGGATACCAATTGAATGGAGGATGCTTGAATTGTATGTGGGGAAAGGAATCATTTAATTGAATGTGTCTGTTTGTTTGTCGAAGAGGGTAATGTACTAGTAAGTATTGGTTTTTTATTAATAGTTATTTTATTTTGAAAAAAGTGAAAAATAAAAACGCCCCCCGGGGGGCTCGAACCCCCGACCTTACGGTTAAAAGCCGCACGCTCTACCGACTGAGCTAGGAAGGCACTTATTTATATCCTTTATAATAATTATGTCTAATATGTATTTATCTTATTTTAAAACTAAGATAAATAATATTAAGAATATACAAAATATAATTATAAAAATAGTTTATTTACTAGAAGATAAATAAATTCATTAACAAATATAAACAAATATTATAGTTATGAATATGATACATAAACTATAATTACAAACAATAATAATGTTGTGTTGATTTTGTTTGAATAATTTAAACAACTAATTACACTAACAAGTACTTAATTCACTGCCAATCGACACCTTTTGGTACATTTATAACACTTAAACTATTACACCCATTAAAACAATTGCGACTGATTTTTTGAAGAGTCAGAGGGAAACTGATTTCTTTCAGTTTTTTGCACTTTTCAAATGTCAACTCTTCGACTTTACGAACACTTTTTCCAACTTCAATTTGAGACAATTCTTTGCAGTCACTAAAACAACGACTTCCTATCACTTCAACACTCTCACCAATTTTAACCCTTTCAAGCTTTTCACAACATTTCAGAATTTCATTCTTCATGACTGTAACATTTTTGGGAATTTCAAAAAGTCGCAAGTTGCGACACTCAGCGAAGGCGCACTCCCCAATTTCCACAACGTTTTCGGGGATGTTTAACACTTTCAGTTTGTCACACTGTTCGAATGCGGAAATTCCTATTTTTTCAAGAGACGACGGCAACACACATCTTTGAAGTTCTTTACACTCAAAAAATGTTTTGTCTTTAATCACTCGAATGTTTCCTTCGATGACAATTTCAGACAATTTCTTACATCCATCAAAGCATTTCGCACCAATTTTTGTGATGCTTTTTGGAAGAGCAATTCTTTCAATGCGTTTGCACCCCGCAAAACTTTGGTAGCCGATGACTATTAAATGCTCGGGGAGAATCACTTCCTCGAGAAATTCAAGACTTTTAAAAATCTCGTCAGGAATTTTTTTCAACGCGTTCGAAAACTTCACACTTCTCAGTTTCTCGTTGTTCACAAAAATCAAATTTCCAATGTAAGTGACACTATCGGGTATTGTCACTTTCTCAAGCTTTTCATTCACATCAAACGTCCCGTTGACAATCGCGCGATACTTTTCTGGCACATTAAAAGTGCTTGACTTCTTCTCGCCGACGTTTTGTGGGCAAAGACAAAATTTAGGGTTTTGCGGTGGTGTGAGGGTGTTACAGAAGTCAAAGGCGCCTTTTTCGAAAAGAGTCGACTTCCCGCAGTTGAATACTTTCAGTTTTTTGCAATTAGAAAACGCGTAGTCTTTCACACAAATCACGCTGTTGGGGATGTCGATGTTCTCAAGAGAAATGCAATTCGCAAAACAGTTTTCTCCAATTTTCATTAAATTCTGCGGGAGTCCAATGATCTCAAGTTTACTACAATTCGCAAAGGAGTACTTTTCAATTTCAACAAACACTGTTTCCGCGACGTCGTCGTGAGTTTCGATAATCGCCTTCCTCAAATTGGAGCAGTTTTTGAACGCAAATTCTTCGATCTTTGTGACAGAAAATGGGATTAAGACACTCTCAAGTTTCTCACATTCAACAAACGCAGATTTCGATATTTCAGATATCGTCGTCGGGATATCAACGTCGATCGCATTTTTCATTCCATAGAAACACCGTTTCCCAAACGACTTAAGACTTTTGACAAGTGGAATTGTGCAGAGGGACGCACATTCAGAGAAACAGGAGTCCCCAAATTTCTCGACGTTTCCATGGAACGCAATTTTCACTAAATTTCTGCACTTCTCAAAAGTCGAATTTCGCAGCTTTTTCGCATGCGACAAAATCGCGACGATTTTCAAATTTGAATTTTCGTAGAAGCACTTCTCGCCGATTTTCTCGACACTCGTGGGGATCTCGACTTGAGTCAATCCACAATTTTTAAAGCAACAATTGCCAAGTCGGACGAGATGGTTTGGGAGTTTGATTTCTTTGAGGGACGAACACCCTGAAAATGCGGCATTGCGAATTTCTTTCATCGTTTCAGAGAGAGTTATCGCGCTCAATTTCTCGTTTAAAGAGTAAACATAATTTCCAATTTGCTCAACGGAGTCTGGAAGAGTCATTTCTTTGAGAGAAAAATTACTTGCGAACGCCATGTCTCCGATCTTTGTTATAGTTGAATGCATCGAAAAGGAAGTGAACGCACACTCTTTCAAGAAACAAGACGGAAGTGCTTTTAAGGTGTTTGGAAGAGTCAATTGAGTCAGTTTTGTGCACGCCTCGAACACGCCAATACCAACGAAAGTCACCGAGTCGGGAATTGAAATACTCGAAAGGTTGTAATTTGAAGCGAACGCGCGCTCACCGATATATTCCACGGTGTTTGGAATGTCGAGCGATTGAAATTTCCCATTCGAAAAACACGAATCGCCAATTTTCATCAATTTTGGAGGAAACACAAAAGTGGTTAAGGCACAGGAAATGAACAACCCAGATGGCAAAACAGTTAAATTTGAGGGGAGGAGAACAGAAGTCAAATTTATACAATGTTCAAACACTTTTCGTCCTAAAGTAGTAAGGCTTTGTGGTAAGACTATCCTCTCCAAAGTGGCACACCACGAAAAAGTCGAGTCTTCAATTGAAACGATCTGACTAGGGACTTCTAATGCAGTGAATGTTGTGTTTGAAAAGACACTTTTAGACAACTTCGTAATGTTCAGTGGAATAATCGAAGTGGTTGAATGTGCGTCACTATGGGAATGCGACGGAGAAACACTTTTTAATGATGACTTTGGTTCTGTTGCCATTATGAGTGGTTTGAGGAATTAGAAGTTCACTTTTTTACGTCATGTACACAAGAATAAAAAGTCATCAGACAATGATGTGGTGATGTCTTTAAAACAAAGATGCATTGATTCGCGTTTTTTTTTCACAAAAATGATAATTTTACTTGTATTTTATCGGTTAACGAAATGTTATTAAAAGGAAATATATATTTGCAAAATTGTCGATTGTGTTCCAATAAAAGAAACCTCTCAACTACAATAATCACAAGAATTATCTAAAAATCAAAGAACAAACAATTGAGAAAGTGATTGTTGAATTGTTGAATTGTTGAGTAAAGTTTTACTAAAAAAATAGAAAAATTGAATGACATATTATTGAAAAATAAAACAATTAAAAATAAAGTTAAAGAATTTGTATATTTTAAATGATTTGTGTTTAGATTAGACAGTTGTGTGTTTGTATTTGTTTTATTTTTTTGTAAAATTGAAAATAAATATGATTTTGTTATTATTCCATTTTTTAATAACCAAAAAAAATGGAAATTCAATATTTTAAAAAAATAATCTTTTAAAAACAAATATTAAAAGTTAATAATAATAAACAAGGAGTTTTTCGTAAATTAATTTAAATTTTGTTTAAACACTTTCATAAACTATATCTTTTTTTCAGAAATAAAAATAAGTAAGAGCAAAATTTACGAATTTTTTATATTAATTTTTTTTTAAAAACTCTTTTCTTATTCGAACCAATTTTGAGTCAGTTTTTTTTAATTTAAATACTTTACAAATGAGTACTCAATTACCTAAGATCCATCAAAAGGAATTTTTTGAACAACAAAATTTTAATTACAACTTGTATAATACCATTCACTACATCGTCAATCGATCATATTATTGAAAATTTTCAATAGTCATATAAACGATAATTACCACCAAAACTACACTTTGTTGGTGACAGTCATATGATAACGATCTTAATTTTTTTATATTTCGAAATATCGATAAAACCCAGTATTTTCTTATCATCCATTGCTTTTGTTTAAACCTAAGCAGACTTAGCACAACAACAAAAAGAAAATTTTGTGATGTTTTATTCACATCACAAAATCCTACCATTTTGTCGTGTATCATTTCGAAAAAAAAAACACAAATTCATTAGCAAAAATAACTTTTTTATTAAATAAAATAAAAACTCATTATCAAAACGTTTCATTTTTATGTGTTAAATATTTGTAATTTGTTGTTGAGTTTTTCAAAAAAAAATTGAGTCATTAATGATTTGTTGTCTTGTTTATAACTTTGTTATTAGTTTTAAAACTTTAATAATTGTTAATTTTAGTAATTAAATCAGAGTTTCCAAAACCACACTCCTAATTACCAACGTCACCATTTTATAACTAAAATGTTTATTTTCTCTTATAAATTCGTAC